ATTTGTTAGCACAAGGCACAGCTTTAGGGCTAGGGCAGTCTACCAGCACTGCAATCAGCCGAGATCCTCTCTTCCATTTTCCAGCTCAGTGCTCAATTCCATATTAAACAAGCACTAGTACAAGTGGAGCTGCAGAATGCGAAGCTAGACAATAAAGCCCTGAAGAGCAGAGGGAAGGCAGCTCCATCTACTTTGTCTCCCTGCGGGTGGAAGAGGCAAACAGAAGCTCAATGGCTCAAACTCTGTCCTGCTGCAATCTTAAAGTGAGCTGCAGCTGGAGCAGCCCATTGCTGCCATAAAATGAAGTAGGGCAGGATGCTCTCGCCACGTCAGGGAGCAGTGTCCAGCAGTGCTGTGTTAGCTGCCTCCAGCAGGCACATGCAACACATGGGAGTTTGCATCAAATCCACCTTTGCTTCCATCTCCCTCTTGTCCCCGTTGCACAATTAAGCTCCCCAGGCACTCCTCAGTCAAAACTGTCAGCAATTCAGCCCCCATCAGCCCCTGATTCACACAACCCTGCTCCGAGTTGCTGCCTGCCCTGCAGTCACAGGGAGCCAATGCAGTCTTTATCCGTTGTCCTTCTCATAGCACCTCCTGCATCCTTCCCTGTTAACAACTACGCCTTCTGCTTCATTCCTGGAATAGCTTCTAACTCTTTACTTCAAGCCAGATTCATTAACCAGCTGCTGCAGAGCTGTTTGCCTCCCCCAGGTACTCTGTGCATGTCATTCGTTAATGACTCATCTCAGACTGGGCTCATTGCAAAGACACCCCCCTCCTTTTGCAGCACCAAGCGTATCGCTGGCACACCAGGAAAGCCAAACATGCAAACAGCTCAGTTCCCTCCAATACCCCATTCCCTTCTCTGTCCTCTCTTGCCGTCAAGCAAGGGACAGCTCTTTATTCAAAGCGCTATTTCCTCCCTTGTTTCTTTGCTGATCAAAGGCAACATATACCGAAGGATAAATAAGATCCTCACCCCCAGCCAGGCTTTGAGAACTGCAAAAACATAAGAACAAACTCAAAAACTTCCACCACACTGAAGAAGCTTCAGCAAACTAATGTGACTCCTGTAACTGACTGGGAATAAACACCAAGGATGCCAAATTCACATCTATTTCCCCAGCAGACTGCGGCTTGCTGAGGAGTTAAAGTGATTTCCAAAGGCATTTGTATTCCTCCTGCCTTTTTGTGGGACTGATATTAAAAATGGGAAGGAAAGAAAACAGCTAGTGAGGACCACAGAACCTCTCCTCACTAGTCAAATCTAGTGAGGAACTGGATGACCAGTACAATGCAGCTGCGCACGCAGGAAGCCAGAAACAGACTCAGTCCATCTCCATCACACGGATCTGTTATACTTGGGTACACAAAGTCCACCTACACCTCCTGAGAAGCTGTCAGCTGAACAGTGGGAGAAGCTAGCACAGAAACTAGTACTGCCACGGTTTGGGAAACAGTTCCTTTGAGATACAGGGAAGGCTTCATGCTCTGGGCTTATTCACTTAACATCCTTCACTGGGAATTTTTTGGCTAGCATTTCTAGGGGGGAAAGAAAGCTGGCAAAGAATCAGAAACTAAGGGACTTGACCCAGAGGCAGCTGGATGGGAGGTATGTAGATCCACCTCTCAAGATTAAACACCGTGTGCCTGCACTGCAGGAGAAGAAAAGGAGAGGAATTTACTTTCACAAGTCTACAAGTCCCGTGACTGAGGACTGAAAACACGCAGATGGCAAAGAATTCTGATAGCAATAAGAGGAAGGCACGTGCATTGCAGAAGTAAGCGCAGGTGACAGCTGGCTGCAGGACTGGAGCATTGTCACAGTCCTCTGTTTGAACAGCTCCCCTGCCTGCTCGCAGAAAGCCCTTCTCTTTACAGCATGGAGTGAAATACAGTGGCCAAACTACAAAGCGGTACTCTGCTAGACCCAGAGGAAGGAATCGACTAGCCCAAGACAGAGCACAACTACAAATCTTCCACAATCAGGCATTGCAGGTGTTTAGGCTCAGGACATTGGGCTCAGGTATTGGCTTTGCTGCAGATCCTTCTGAACAAATTTGGACAAAGATGAACTACTGACAAAATGGGAAGAGCACTTCCCTGCCTCCCGGATGCATCAGGGAAATTAGTCAGACCTTCTCAGGACACCAGGAATCACGTAAATGCTCAAGTGAACAAGTGCTGTTGGACTACAAGCCTAAAGCGGCCTCAAAGCTAAGACTCCAGACTCTGACATTAAATCAGCATTTTTAATTTTTTTTTCTAAAATGTGCTTTTTTGTGAATTGTTGTTTCAATGCCAACCCCATCCTCCCCCTTAAAAAAAAAACCCACACCTTGCCGAACTAGGTGCAAATCACCTGAAGTTAGTCTGTAACAAATAAAAAAAACCCCACAACACAAAGGCTGAAATGCTTTAGAATCACAACAATGTACAAAAAAGGGAGGAAAATACAACCTGAAAGTGTTCAAAATTCAGAAAGACTAGTCAAGTCCATTGCTTCAGCAAGGGGATGCTGCTGCGACCCCTGCCAGTGGGTCCTGGGCCACCAGCCTGCCACAATGCTAAATGGGCTCTTCTCCCATGCAGACCTCTGTCGCTAGCATCCAAGGAAGAGCAAATGCATTACCCTTTGAAGGTATCAGTGGGGGAAACAACTCACAAACAGCTCTGGGAGGTCACATCACATTCAGAAGGAACAGTTTCTAGTATGCCCCTAACCACCTGCAAGAAGGAAGGCTTAAAAGAGCAGCCTGCTTCCTCCTTATTGTATTGATGCCTCAGAGATGCATAACAGTGCTTTAAATCTGTGAGAGATTAAAGGGCTTAGTAAGGGCAGTAAACAGACAGTTAAGTAAACAGCCCAGCACTGGATCTCATCTTCATAGAGAGAGGTAGTGTGAATTTCACCCCAGTTTAAAATAGACAGGGGTAGCAGAAAGGCTGAAGACTTCCATGCAAAGCAGTTCCTGGCCTAGAAACCTTTCTGTGCTCCCTTTGGGAATGAAAAGATCTGTGTTGATGGCTTCCTCACTCCCAGCCTGGCTTTGGTAGCCACACTTCAACCCTGGGATTCAGACACTTGCTACAGAAGTTCTCCCAAGATCTGATTTAGTACAGCAGCTTCCTCAAGGTTAAGCAGCAATAAGACTGGCTGGGAGGGAGCAAAATTGTCCACAGATATTTTTTTTTTCCCTCCTGCTCCTTTTGGTTAGTCCCTCTCTTTAGAAGTCCCTCTTTACAGGACCAGAACAGGGACCTCCTGGAAATTAATAGGGGCTGCACAGTGTAACTTAGCCAGGTGCTGCTAACTGGTTGCTGTATTCAAACAGGGCTTTTATTTGCCAGCCTCGAAGGGACTGGCCCAGAACCCACTGAAAAAGGAGACGCAGGCCCTTTTTTGCTCCTCCTGTTGTCATTCCTAGCTGAATGACATTTAGATGGTATGTTCTAGTGACGGCTGGAGACTAGCCCTTTGACTTTGGACATCTTCTTTGTGGGCTGCCTTTGTTCTGTGTGTGGAGGGCACTCTCGCTCTACCAGCTGCTGTTCCATCTCCTGTGCCGACGACGAAGCTGTAGCTTTTAATGTTTTCTTTATGTTTGTGACCTGGCCAAGAAGAGACAGTGAATCAGCACCTGCTCCTTCCTCCCCTTGCAGTAGAAACTCTGTCCATAAACATATTGAAAACCCCTGCAGTGTAGAGCGGAGATTATAAAATAAACTCTCCCGCCAGAAACGTGCTCTGCACTTGCATTTATTAAGGGTAATGTTTCATCCTCACTTACAGCCAGTTGTTAATATTTCCAGTCTGGGTCCAATACAGAATAATTAGAGATTACTTTTTTCCCCCCGAAGAGACAATGGCACAATATTGTACCACCTTTCTAGCTGGCTGGCGGGAGGGACCTACTACTGCCTTGGTGCAGAAGACAGCCACCCTACCATTATGCTGGCCAGAAGCAGGAAGGACAAAGGAGACTGTGAAAGAAACAAACTTACACTTAGGACAGCGCTTGACAAGGGAAAATGCCATTTGGCCTAGCCGGCTGTCTGAGCCACAGTTATTTGCTAGAAGCAGGAACAGAAATTGGTTTCATGCGAGGCAGCAGTAGTGTTTCTGCTACTCTGGCTGAAAAGGAGAGATACAGCACCAGGCACCGTACTCTGTCCCCTGGAACCCTGTAGGGCTCACCAGAAATACAATAAGCAAGCCTTAAGAAAAATCCCACAGGCGAGAATGAGTTTGGGAGTCAGGTGTGCCAACTCCAGGCCAAAGGCATCTGGCAAACCAAATGCACTGTAGATGCCAATCAAGCCGCCAAGCATATGTTGCTTCAGAAGGCAAACATAAACCTGCAGGGATGCAGCGCTCTGCAAGAAATAAACCCTGAGCAAGTGTCTCAGGAGGACCATTTTCACCTTTACAGCTGTATTAGCCAAGATTTGTTCTCGTAAGTGAATACACATCGTCAGGGGCTAAAATCGCGTGCCCGTGCTGCCATCTGCCGCCTGGCTGCACATGCAACAGAGGCAGGAGTGCTCCCAGGTCACACTGCTGGAGACAGCGTGTCAGAGAGCCCTGTCTGGGTGCTCGGCTCGACCCCAAGAGAAAAACCCCAAAGGAAGCTGCTGAGGCACTTTTTGCAAAAGCAATGAGACTCGAGAGACTTTTGCTAATTACACTTTCAGGTTTAAAACAAAGTGAACTGCTTTTTCCTTCCTTCCTGCCTTGCACAAAAGGAACAGAATTGCATCCAAGCTGTGTGTTAAAAGCACACTTTTCCTAACAAGTCAACTCCGGAAACTATAGCTAGTGCGCCCACCTAGCGTATTTTCATAAAGAAAAATTCCAACCTGCTCGGAGTGGGCAAATTTGATGTTTGCAGTGTTACTAGCACATGGAAGCAGATGTGTTTTCTTCCTACCCCAAACCAGCGCATCTGATTTGCATGATTGCTAGCCTACTATCAGGGAAGCCACGACCATTAACCAGGTGTTACCAGATTATTTTCTTCAGTAAGCAAACATTTATCAAAAAGCATAGAGCAATCTGAAGTGACTCTGTACTCACCTCCATCTCTACCTGCTGCTGAGTTCGGTGATGGTTCTCTTTGTATTGGTTGGCTCTAAGTACTTGCTGCTCAATTCCTAAAAGAACTGCTTCACAACCATCACACCTGCAAGACACAAACAATGTCAAACAGTGTTTACAAGTTCTCTCTGGAGCAGCTCAATCAGCAACCTTAAAAGTCAAGCTTGCCTAAAAGTTTAGGAGATTATTAACTTCCTGCTTAAAGTTCCAAAAAGCTGGCAGGAGAAAGCTTTGCTATTTATTCAATGTATTTCACAGCATTCTTTAAAGAGTCCATATTCCTCTTACCTGCCCAAAAAGCATGTGCAGGTTCAATGCAATTTCAACTTCCTTTTCAAAAGGTATTACTGCTTAAACAGGGATGCAACACATTTCTCAAAAGTAAGTAAAATTTTAAAATTAAACAAAAAAGTCAGATTGAGAGAATACCCCTGCCTGTTAAGTGTTCAAAAGACAAGAGCACTCCTCCAACACAAAACTTGTAACTGGAGAGGACAAAAGGGAATTGGCAGTGGGTTCATTGTTACCTTCCAAACAATGCTGTAAGGTCCTGGAAGCTGCCAGAGCCCTCCCACTGAGATGGGATTCAGGGAGTTGGAGTAGAGAAGCAAAAAGCCTGCCCCCACCTCAGGACAGCATATTTGCACAGCAGTTTAATTACTTTTCATGCACCCATTACCATAGCAACTAGGATGCAATTCCCAGTCAGCTCAGAACCTGCCACAGGAAGGGAATCCCACAAAAAGATGAGAAGCAGCTTCCTGGCAAAGGTACAAAAAGATAGTACCACAGTCCCAGTACGGTTGCATGCAGCCTGCATTTGCAGGAACAAAGAGATGGCAAACAAAGGCATATGAAACTTCAAACTCAAAGAGACATCCCCTCCAAAGAACTGTGATTCCCTAGAATTTGCCCATGAGGTTCTCATCACAGTGAAAAAGGCTGAAAAGTAATGGACAGTTCTGGTTTTGTTATCAAGTGTAACAGCAGAAAGGGGAGTATCTCCTACCATAAGACCATGAGTCCAGTTTGGCATGTCTGTTTGAGAAGACCCTTGACTCCTCACTAGGGTTCTGCCATGTAAAAGCTACAAGCGAGAGCAGAATCTCATGACCCAGTGTAGTTTGGCTTGATATATAACACAAATTGAACCCTAGATGGGATCTTCAAAAACTTGCCCAGACTCCTCCTTCAAGTGCTTCCTTACAGCATAATATTCCTGATTAATGGAACATGCTGAAATTGAGCCAGCACTTGAAACTTTGAGGAATAAGAAAAAGACAAGACAAGCTACATACAAGGAGCAAAGAAGGTGGAGAGACTGCCTCACCATTCCTGGAGTGTTTTGACAATGTTACTGATGTCCTTCTTCTGAATGTCTCTGCCGATACAAAAATCCACTTCTAGCACCTGATTTCGTTGATCCAACTTCCCCTGGATAATATCTGTATAAACTGCTTCAATAATCAGATCTTCCAACTCCCTCAGATTCCTCATATCCAGGTCCTTCAGCAACACAGAATAGGGAATGCACTAAAAACAGCAAGTCCAAGAATAAGTTAACAGCTCTAGAGCCAAAATGAACAGCTAAGTCACAGCAGGTCAAGACCCAAATGTTTATTGTATCCTACACTTTAACCTGCAAGTACAGCAGTGACTGACTGTGGCAGAACAAATGCCTGCCACTAGGCTACATAATATTCTGACACAACTCTGGTAATTCCTGAAGCTTTGGCATAGCATGTTCTGAAAGAAGAAAGGTAATGGGATTACAGAAGAGTGTTGCTTAGAACAAGAAGTTACCTGTTTTAAGAATGATTCCACATCTCCAGCAGTGAAAGAAGCCATACAAAGTGTCACAGCTCTTACTGACCAATTTGCATGGCAGTTCAGACACACCCACATCTCATCCATCAAAGTCCACTAAGTTAATGACCCAAACGCACCCCGAGAGAATGCTGTACGTTACAGGTACTTTCCTAGCTGCAGGAATTTTTGAGAGTACTCATGAAACCTGATACAACTTCAATGCTATGGAATTGGATGTCATTTTCAAAAACAAAACCAAACAAACAGATGACTGCTATCATACACAGTGTACTTTACCTTCATTCTGGAAGCCAGGCTTACAATTGTCAAGTGTTTCAGCTTGTTTTTCTGAGTCGCTGTTAATTCAGGCAGGTTATCTCTGTTTGCTGTTAATGTTAAAAAGACAAGATTCAGGACTTTCCTTCAAGAATCACATAATCCAGGCTACAGAACTTCAGGCTAGCTACACCACACTAAACCCTGAAAGGCTGAACCCAGAGAGAGAGGGGAAAAGTTAAAAAACAAAGTTGGCAATTCCACTCTTCTCTGCTTATTTAATAATTCTGGTTTTGGAATTAGAACATAATTCACATCTACACAAGTGGTGTCCTGCCAAAACAGTTGGTCAGTGCTTTGTTTCTACCACCAAGTCATTTTTATTTCATTAACGAGCTGACAGAATAAAATCTTCCCCCTTTGCCGATCTGGTTGTAAATACAGCTGGTTTTATTTCTCTGGAGAGCTGCAGAATTTAGGGTTGAAAGTGTAAAGTACCAGGCTGAGGAAGAGAGGAGAAATTATTAATCTAGATACTTACATGGCCTCACTGGCATTGCATTATATTCATGTGCCTCATGAATATTTAAAACCAGAATGGAAACTGGCAGCTTTCCAAAGCAAAGAAACTCTTTAAAATATCTGCTCTAATGGAAATTAGCGTTTCAGGGCCACTCAAGCTCTCCCATCCATCCCACCTCATTCAATGCTCTCTACATTTTGACTACTTTTCACTCCTCTTTCTTCACTAGAAAAGGAAGAATGAACTGCACTGTCACATGCTGGGACACAAGACCCATGCACAGCAAACACATCCTCTAATCAGTCACAAAATTCATGAGGCTCGTGTTGCTCCACAGCCACTGGAATTTCCAGTCCTTGCATTTACAGATGTCACTTCTCCTTACAGGAACTAGATAGCTCATCCACCACAGTGATAGCCAGCACTATGACAGAATTATTTGTCATACTCTGTAATGGTCTGGATTAGGCTGCTACCCACAAATGAAGCATTAAATTGTATCAGAATGGAAGCGCCTAAGCACCAGAGATAAAAGCACATCCCAACAGATACTAAGATGATTCACACATAGTCATTCTGAAGCTGTATAAAAGTCATTATTTCGATTTGTATTCCAACTAAGAAATGCTTCATTTTGTTTCAGCAATGCCCTCACAGAATAAAACGTTATCCCATAAACCATACAGGTTTTTATAAATAATGCAGAACAATTTTGTCTAAGTTTTCTGCAGCTTCCATAAGCGGTGTCATCTAAATTTCAAAACAGATGTCTGAAATTGCACTCTGCAGAGGTAAGTGGCCTGTGAATACTGCTACAGGCCAATGCAAACCAGTGCTGCAGTCCAATCCAAACCAGTAAAAGACCATCACCTCTAGCCCTTCCTCCACATTTTAGCAATTAAAAAAGCGCATGTGACCCAGAGACCCCCTATGAACAACTCTCCTCCCAAGCAAATTTTGTTCTTGGACATTTTCACCCCGCCACACTACACCAGGTACCACAGAAAGCAAAGAACTGCCTCTGGCAATCCTAAAGGGCAATCCAGTCTCCTACTCTGCAAACAGATGGCAGTCTCTTACCTACATAGTCTGGATATGTTCCGTACGCAAACAAGTTCAGCAACTGGAAATAAGCAGCATTAGACCCTTCAGCAAGCTGGATGGGAAGAAAACAAAAGAAATCCCATGTAACATGGTTAACAGCCGACACAATGCTGATAGGCAACTTCTCCAGAGAATGCTTTAAGTCTACGACGGACAAGCAGTACCCAGAAAAGCAATTATGTCCCGATCTTAAAGAGCTGGACCCTTTCTAAGGCCTTGTGAGCAGCAGCAACGTTTGGCAGTTTCAGAGTCAAGATGATCTAGCCATTTCTATGCATTAGAACTTAACTACAGTTTGGACTGTCAACTGCTTTGTGCAGCACCTTAGGAAGTAAAAGAAAAAGGCGACTCTTAATTTCAGCTGACATCCTACAGGGCTAGCTCTTCTCATCATGTGACAAGCGAGCAGGCAATGGTGTTGGTTGGTTAAGCATCCTTGCTATTACTGGGAAAGCTAAGACAGCTTACCTGCAGAGCCAGAAAAACTTCAAAGCTAGAACATTTTAAGTTGAGTGCATTTGAAAGTAATAACACTCCTCTCACATGCAAACACTTGGCAGGAATAACGGCAGCACCAAGCAGTGATTTTTATTGAGTGGGGTTTTTGTAATACCATTTGCTGCATGCAGATCCAGGAAAAAAACCCCATACTTGTGATTTGATGCTGAATAGAGGCATTTTTTGGCATATCTAAGAGCCCATTTGGAAAGCCAAACTTGCTGTACGCCACATTACCCAGCTGCAGAGACACTCAACGTAGATTCCCTCTTTGTAGTAGAGGGGAGTGCTGGCAAGGCTTTCTCAGGAAAAGCTCTGGAACTTACTTTCCACCTTGGTTTGAAATGGTTTGGATTTGGTTACCACCCAGGCCTGATACACTGGACATCTGTTCATGAAGACTTTTGGAGAGCACTGAAGTTATGCTTTCCAGGACAATTGAGGAGTAGAAAGGGATTATTTCGTTGTTGGCTGACTAGGTGCCTTCTTAAAATTGTTACTGGGCTGCTGCCAGGTTTTTGCTGTATTAGCAATCACATCAGGGTAGCAAAGCTTTATACAGGTATTTTTTAACATCTAACATATACAGGCAAAAGCAACATCGATCTCTCATACACAAACATCTCAGAACCAAGGTTAAGTCGCACCAGGCCCATCGGGGCACAGAAATTTCATGCACAGGCTGTCTGTGGAAACTTCTGGGGATCCCTTATACTGAGAGTGCAGAAGGGGCATTAGGGTAGAAACTCATCGCTTACCTCTTGCACATTTGTTAGCTCCAGTAGCTCTCCGAAGACATAAACACCAGGAGCCTCCAGCACTTGATTTATAAGAGCAGTCAGAGCTGAGCCACTTGTACCTTTGGCTAGCAAAATAAACTGCTCTAGAAGATTGCAGGACGGTTTCTGTTCTCCTGCCATTCTAGGTTTTCAATCTGTCAATAAAAGAACATGACATTAATACATCCTTTCTCCTCTGCTGAATTCTGTCTGGCAGTGGATCAGAAGGTACACCCAGCATAGTAACTTTTTGGTGTGAGCAGAGCCAGGTTTTTCTTCAGCATTCAGAGGGCAGGCCAGGAACCCAGCAGGTTCGAATGCCAATTTATCTGGGAAACAAAACAATTCACACAGTATCTAAACAAACTTTTTGCAGACTGTCTGGTCACTTCCCTAAAAGGATCTACTCCTGCTAATAGGTAAGGAGTTTAGATTCCATGCTGTTTTCAGACTTTTCCTTCTACATATGCTGCCAAATAATGCCAACCACAAAGATGTTTATTATAATGTCTATTAGAGGCCAGATAAGACTTCCTCCTTCCTCATTACACAGCTTCAAAACAGCAACTAATTTAATTCTCTTTGAAGAACTGATCCACTTTGTAGGCCCACACATCGTACCTTCTCCTTTGACATCGGCTACAGATAAAGCATGCGTACATAATTCCTGTTGCTTTCTTAGCCTAAAAGGCAAAAAGAACTGTGGCCTGTAAGTAGTTTATGAGTCAACATTGTACAGTTAAAGTGTTTTCAGTTATCTGGAAAACTGAAGTGATAAAAATACCCTTTCTACAAAGGTGCTATTTAAGTCCCTGAAAAGAGAGGTCTTTGTCTTCAGCTGTGGCCTGACATTTCTGGTGTGTGTGTTGTCTCTCACCACCACCATGTTGCTTTTTAAATGTAAACCACTATTTATTAACAAGTTCAACAAAGTAAGTTATTTGTTTACAAACAACTAAGAAAAAACTTCCAAAGCATATTATTCAGACACCAAACTGAAGAACTGAGCAGATGGGGGTGGGGGTGTGGTGTTGTGTTATGTTTGCATGGGATAATTCTCAAGTATAGCATGTAACCTTTACTCTAGTGAAGAAAACCAGACACCAGAGAACCTGTCTCATTCTGTGTGACCACTGGGACCACATCTGCCCTCGTGGGGGTGGTACACTCACACAGGTGTTGGCACTGTTTTGCCATGCCTAACCAAATTAAGACTTGTGAAGGCAAAACCACCAGCTTCCTCTATTAGTCAACTTCTAAAAGTACACTTTACTGCATTCCATTACACCTGCAGGTACAAACAAACTTGACCCGAGCAGGCAGTCTTTTGCACTCTCCACACAAAGATTTCTCGGCTCTCAGCACGAAGTCTCTTTGGGATTCTTTTCATCAAAGGCACATGTGTGCAGCCTGGCTGAATAGTACCCCAGTTTCGACTGAGAAATCCCTGCAATACAATAACTCTCCATGTAGCTTCCTAACACACCTGAGGGTACATCAGTACTACTCTCCGCACTCACAAAAGGGAACAGACACAGAGAACAGGCAATTTTCTCAGGAGACTGCACAAAGTGACTGAGCTGGGAATGAAATCCAGATTTCACGGTTCCCAAGCCATCGTCCTCCCTCACGGGTAATAAAAACACACACCGGTGTATAAGGTTACAAAAGACTGGTTAGCTGTACCATGCCCTGCTAGGAAATGAATGCCAATTCTTTGCGCCTTTCCAAGTTAACAACGTTACAAATGCAACCTGTCTGCACAACCGCATCACCGGGACTACCTCGCTGCCCTTTCCACAGCCGACTTACCCCGGTGAGAAGTGACTGAAATACAAACGGAAGACACTTTAACGGAGCTTGCCCAGCGGTTACAATAACCCACACACGGGGATAAACGTGTCTTCTCCCCCCATCACGCCCTGCTGCAGCCTTTCTAAGGAGCCTGAGGGGGTCTCACGGCAGGAAGCGGCACGCAGACCACACGGGACGAGGCGGCCGCAGGGCACGGGGCAGCCAGGCCCCCTGGCCC